TTATCTGTGGAATATTACTGCCCCAGCATTTGCCTAAGTGGTCCAAGGAAACCACAGAAAAACTTGGACCAAGGCAGACGGACCCGGAATCGAACTGGCGTTCTCCCGAATGCTAAGCAATGGTCTAAACCTCTAGGCCATGCCGCTCGATCTCGCACCCGAACCAAAGCGCACTCACTCCCACAATTGCTGAAAGGAAGCTGAAGAGGGGTCTTCCGCCCTTCCTTCCGGCGTGGTCTGCCGCCCACCAGCATTAGTGACTGATGGGAATGAAATACCCAAAAGTTGTTTTGTAATTGCTGAACTGAGTCCACCAAGTCAAATAAAGAAGTTCATGGTGGTTAGTTATGTCGATATTGTATGCGACGCGCTCATGAGATCCAACAAGATTGAAACCACCATGAACTTCTTTGTTAGATTTGGTTACGTGCCTACCACGTATGGTGAGGTATGCCGTGGATTACTTTTTTGCAAATAACAATTTTAGGAGGACCTTTACTTACTTCAAAGTGGGATCAAGAAGTTAAGGACCGACTTATAAATTACATTGTCCATGGAAAAGATTCCCACAACCTTTATGCCATAAGATTCCTTATTTGTGAACTTTTGAACTTAATTAATGTGGTAAGTTTTATATTTAATAACTTGCATTATTGGGATCCGTCAAATGGGAGGAGCCTAAAAACATGGCGCCGATTAGGGAAAATTTATCGTAGTTCCTATAGTGTACCGTGCAATTTCCAAGTTTTTAAATTACGATAAAATGATAAGTATTGACACAATATGTGATTNATTTTACCAGTGCTTGATGATCGCTAATTAAAGGACAAATTGGTAAAGGGTTTCGCGCTAGTAAGTAAACTGATGCTGTCCAGATTAGGGTTTAAACACCGTCGTCGATTGGAATTGCTTCGTATTAACGTTTCGCTAACATGAGTGGCAAACTACTTCAGAGGTTTTTCCACCTCTGATGTTGGAAGTGGACTGGCGACTCCTTCTGCGTGACTTGTACTTATTTATTCATAACCGTTCGGGTGTTCCTGAGGATCCAGTTCTAGACTGGTTGAGTGGAAGGGCCTCTCCCTTCTTGTTTTTAGACCTCGATGACCTCTCTAACCTCCCTGCTGTGATAACCGTTGACCAAGGCTAGCAATTTGCAGTTCTCAGAGTATTTTATGGGTGCCGTTGCTCACCGCCGAGCAGCATGACCTAGAGGTTTAGACCATTGCTTAGCATTCCGTCCATCAGTCCGTCTGCCTTGGTCCAAGTTTTTCTGTGGTTTTCTTGGATCACTTAGGTCTTTATCACCCAAACCACCACCCATCCATTCGCACGATTCCTGAATGGAGACTGAAGAGGGCCTTCCGTCCTACCTTCCGGCGTAATCTGGAGGGACTGTTCGCCCACCAACATGGCTGGTGGGAATGAAACGCCCAAAAGTTACAGCACGTGTTCAGTCACAGTCGACTTTTCAGTGTCCTATTCAGCTGCTTGTTTTGTGCTCTTTGAGTCTCGTTCACATCGATTTCTTAGTGATTCCTATGTAGACAGATGGTGTATGTCCATTTGACGGATCCCAATAGTTTACAAGAATTTCATTGTAAAAAAACTAATAATGATATAATTTATTTGTAGGTTTTCCAAATTGTTTTAACAAACTGGTTTCTTAACGGTCAGTTCTCGGGACTGCGCGTTCTAATTGATGTGATTAACGGGGAAAACCCGATGTCGATGGTATTCCCCAAGTTAGTAAAGTGTACGTATTACAGATATGGCCCTTCTGGTAGTACAGAAAACAGAGACGGACTCTGTATTTTGCCACTGAATATTTTTAACGAAAAACTTTACCTTATCATGTGGTTTTGGTTCTACTGCCTGGCGCTTCTTTCTGCTTTGACGTTGCTCTATCGCCTTTTGTTCTTTTGCGTTCCTTTTATACGGGTTTATTTTCTTATGGCCCGGGCCAAGTATGTAACAAAAGAAAGAGCGAAGATTGTTGTTGATCAGATTTCTTTTGGCAATTGTTTCGTTTTGTACCAGTTGGGAAAGAATTTGAATCCCATTGTATTTAGGGAACTTGTTATGGGCATAAGCAACAATCTGAAATCCACCAAAAAGCAGAGTCTGAGTGCGGATATTACATTTCCCATATAAAAAAAGAAAACGCAATCGCGTTTAATGTTTTTTTATTAGTTTACTTTGGTGTTTACGAATGTCCTGATTCGTTGATTATCAACATGTTCGCCTTTTTAATGATTATTTTGTTAATGAAATAAATAAATTTGTTATTCCGAGTTTTGCTTTTCTTGTAGAGTAACATCAAATATAGATAACAAGGAAAAATTAATTTGTTAATTGAAAAACTAGCCAGCACCTCGGAGTTCTAGGATGGAAAGGAGTTTCCTGACAGGAGCTGCTGCAGAAACTCGCGTTTTGTAGGCTGATTATCATGTTTTGGGTCGAAGATCAGCATTCCAGATTTCTGGTGTGGAAATGTAGCTTCTAAAAATACACAATTTGTGGGGAAACTCTGCTCAGAACTACTGCAAACTGCAAATACTCGTGGTTAGTTCAAATACCAGTATGTCAATCTTTAGTGGTTCTACTTTTAAACGATCGAGTTCCCGTGAAAATGCAAGACGACTCCTCGATACAACTCTTTAGGGACTGACTAGAATTCTGACCAACACTTGAAAAATAATTTTTTTAAAATAAGTATTGAGACCTAGACTGGTAATGGTAAAACTGGCTCCTCCACTTTGTACTATCTTGAGCCAATCTTCCCATTTCTTGAAAATCAGAGCAATCCATAAACATGTCTAACACTTTGCGAATAGTAATCTAATCTAGGTTGATGAAAAGGTACCCAGATATCCGAATTTAGCAATGGGGTACTTTTGTGTCAAAAATGCATTACTTCAATGAGCCCCATCATTATTTGGGATAACATAATGAATGTGGTAGGTAGTACTTATTTTAAATATGCAACTAGGTCATCCATTAGTATAAGACACGCTTCAACGACAGTTTCAAAAGGGTTGACATACGTACAGGAAGATGTTGCACATTCATAAATATAATTCTGCTTCAAATAGACCCCACATTATGAAGGTATTATACCGTAATCGAAACAATTTATTACTACAACTAGAACTTCACCCAAGTTATAATCCACTTCAAGACACACAATAACAATAATAATGGAAAATAAATTTCAATTTCTGCCAGCGAACTTTTCCAGTTAATGTAAGTTATTGAAGGCAATTAGGGAACGCTAAGAAGAATTACTACCCAAGGAAAGAAAATACATTCGATATTGGTAGAAAACTGCAGATTCAATAGGAAATTAGGGAATTATGAAACTGTAATATAAATTATTGTTATTAATTCTTGAAATTTGTAAGGGGTGTAATATATATATATATACAAAGTGTATTAAGAAAGTTGCCTACACATTGGAATATGCAGTTTAACATGAAAAAATTAATTAAAAATTGCAAGGTAGCCAATAATTGTCTCAACGAAAATTGTTGTATATTTTATAGCTGTGTCTAAAGGTAGATGTTGAATATATTTTGTTGCAATTTCATAAGGAGGTGGAGCTATATATAATGTTGAATTTAGTTCAAAAATTCCAGATGAAGATAGATTAGATTGGATTAAATAATAAATTAAGATGCGCTAGCTATAGGATCTGTCAAATGGGCATACGATATCTAGTGACAAATCATGTTAGATATAATTTTACTATTTAATTAGCTGTACCATTAACTTCGTGGGGGTTTCTTCTAATTTAGACGTTTTAGGGCAGTACGTCGTAAAACTAACCTAACTGTAGGGTTTGCACCATCCTAATCACACACTGCACTCATATTTATCACTATTTACCACTTTACTAAATCGAACAATTATACCCCGTATTTGAATCATTCCCTTAAGTCCACCATGTTTTTTAGGCCCCTCCCATTTAACATATATCCTAATAATTGAATTGAATTGTCTATCTATTGCCCTAACATATTTCTATTAAAACATTTTTTTATTAAAACCTGTATAGTGATGCACCTCTAGTAAATGTAAATGTTGCAATAAAACTACGAATACATGGATTTCCCGATAGAAATTGTATCATTATTTGCTCTTGCATATAAATCCAAAGTATAAACCCAGATTAAACGAAAATCGTACAGTGATGAAAACACTCTGAATAATCACGTGTTACCTACAGCAAATCGAAAAACTAGTTGCTGAACGACAATAAGAGGCTTATTTTAAGCTTCTGTCAATTTCAGACATTTTGTCCATGATTGGTTCCTAAACTATACAGCGACATGACCTGCAAAACGTTTATCTACCCAGAGAACGAAAACTCTGTAAGTGTTTTCGTATCATGCAGATACTTAAAGAAGCATTAATATTGAATTTAAAGACGGAAAAGTGCTATTTGTAGGATAAATAACTGAAGTAGTTTAAATATTTTACCAGTGCTTGATGATCGCTAATTAAAGGACAAATTGGTAAAGGGTTTCGCGCTAGTAAGTAAACTGATGCTGTCCAGATTAGGGTTTAAACACCGTCGTCGATTGGAATTGCTTCGTATTAACGTTTCGCTAACATGAGTGGCAAACTACTTCAGAGGTTTTTCCACCTCTGATGTTGGAAGTGGACTGGCGACTCCTTCTGCGTGACTTGTACTTATTTATTCATAACCGTTCGGGTGTTCCTGAGGATCCAGTTCTAGACTGGTTGAGTGGAAGGGCCTCTCCCTTCTTGTTTTTAGACCTCGATGACCTCTCTAACCTCCCTGCTGTGATAACCGTTGACCAAGGCTAGCAATTTGCAGTTCTCAGAGTATTTTATGGGTGCCGTTGCTCACCGCCGAGCAGCATGACCTAGAGGTTTAGACCATTGCTTAGCATTCCGTCCATCAGTCCGTCTGCCTTGGTCCAAGTTTTTCTGTGGTTTTCTTGGATCACTTAGGTCTTTATCACCCAAACCACCACCCATCCATTCGCACGATTCCTGAATGGAGACTGAAGAGGGCCTTCCGTCCTACCTTCCGGCGTAATCTGGAGGGACTGTTCGCCCACCAACATGGCTGGTGGGAATGAAACGCCCAAAAGTTACAGCACGTGTTCAGTCACAGTCGACTTTTCAGTGTCCTATTCAGCTGCTTGTTTTGTGCTCTTTGAGTCTCGTTCACATCGATTTCTTAGTGATTCCTATGTAGACCTTTCTTTAGGAACAGGACCCCTGAAGCTGAAAGAGGGTCTTTTTCGTCCTTCTGATCTGATGGTCTGCTGGATTTTCTTCGTAGGTGAAGATAGTTCTGATGTCGTATCTTTTCAAGACTCTGCCAATTCGACCTGTGACCTTTGGAACAGTGGTAGATATGCTAGAGAGGAAGTGCGCCATTTGCTGATTTCTGGTCCTTGCTATCTGATCAAGTTTATTGATCCTTCGGTGTTCCTCCTCTTGTAGCGATTTGCCTCGAAGGCGATCTTTATACGTTCCAGTTTCACCTGGAAATTTCCGGTATGAAGATCCTTCTAGCTCTTTCAGTCAATGTCCTGATGTGGCCATTCTGGATCTCGATGATGAACTGCATGCTGGGGTGTTGCCTGTTCAGGTGTTGGAGGAAGTGGTTTAGCTTTTTCATTCCGTGTCCATACGTGTGCTAGCAAAACTTTAGCAAGCAACTCTAGCCGACGCCTCCTTTTAGACCCGAAACAGGACAGAGATTTCGAATTTGTTTCTACTGAAGCAGCTAATAAAACAATGGACGTAGACGCTGACCTATGTACGTTGTTTGCAGAAAAGGATAAAAAATATTCAAAGTATTAAGAAGAAGTCTTGCAATTTGAAGTCGAGGTTTTATTCGTTGTCTCGGTTTTACAAATTATGTATGTCATGGCCAAAGAAGCAAGTAATCAAAACCTCGACGGACTTTGTTCATCCCTACGACATCGCCTGAAAATAACTGAATAAACAATTCACCAGAACAAAACGCTCAAATGACATACATTAGAAAGAACAGCAAACGGTACTCATGCAGGCATGTAAATACGACGAACGGCCTGGAAACACAAAAAATGATGATAAAAAATCCTTTGTAGTAAACAACAAGAAGAATTAGCGACAGCCATCGTGAAGGCATCAGTCTTAATGAGGGTAAAACTGTCTCTTTTCGAACGTACCTCTTTTCCCGTGTTGAGGGTCGTCGAGAGGTCGTTGTAGTTGTAATTACCACGCATGCTTTGCAGAAATGTTGAAAATATCATCCATCCAACCGGTCCCACTCACCCACAAGCACACGTACATACATTTACACGTATATACATACAAAAAAATACGGAACTGTTCGTTGCCGAGTCGCACTCTTGCAATTTGCATAGCTGTGTAGTTACCATTACTTTTTGCCTCATTAATGTACCAATAGGCACATGTTAGACGTCGTTTCTGTTTAATTGGCGCATTCCATGCTAAAATCCTCTGAAAAAGGTTAGCATTCAGGCGAAAGTTTTACACACTTACCGCAGCCGCATTGAGAATTAGGATGAAAAGTTTCTGTAACACCAATTTCACGACACAGTGAAAATGCAAATTCTGGTTTTCATTTCAAGCCTAATAATAGAAGAGCTATATCTGGAATTTGAAAAAATTTACCGTTTTAACATATTCAGATAATAGGGGAGCAGACTCGTTTCTAAGCAGGCAGATAGCTCACTATAAGAACAGAGGGTAGATACGTAGGGTGAATCTTCCTTATGTTTTTCTTTAATTCCTCATCGAGATATAGTGCTAAAAAATTTACATACTATAAATGCATAGCTGGGTGAATTGGTATAAAATGAGTGGCGGATAGGAATGAAGTAGACAAAAACTATTGAAAATCACTTTTTTGTCGTTAAAGTACATTCAGAATTATAAGGCCGTCAGTCTTAAGACTGATTGGACACGCACCTCCACTGCTTCCTATCCTGATCTAATCTTTGCATTTTTCTAAAACTAGGACATCCGACATTCTTAATTATTTGCGAACAGTAATCTAATCTAGGTCTACGTTTACCCCTCCTAACTCCCGCTTCTGCCTCTAATATGTCTCTGACTAGACTTTCATGCCTGAGAAGGTATCCTATTTTACGTATCTCGCCTATTTTTATTAACTTCCATAGAGTTTTCTGTTCTTCTATTCTTTCTAATACATCTTCATTTCTAACCTTCTCTATCCTCGGTATC